AAAGCAAGGCGCATTGCATGGAGAAGGGGTATAGAAGGAAAATAAAAATAAAAAAAAACAAAAAAAGGAAATAAAGAAGGAAAAAAAAAAAGAGAAATGGTTGGCTAATATAATTATTATTATTATTATTCTTTTTTTCCATATATGGAAATATACTTGTTCTTTTTCGAGAAGAGAAGTAAAATAGTGCTTATAGTATGCATTTATAAATATGTCAAACAAAAGGGTTTTTTTTCTTTAAGAATTAAATAAAATAAGGTCTTCTTTCATTGAAGACTTTAAAAAGAAAGAAAGAAAGTAAAATCACAGGTTTCTATGTGTTTTAAAAGAAAAGCCCCTCAATTGATTCTTTTTTTTTTTTTTTTTAATTTGATTTAATTTTTTTTTATTTATTTATTTATTTTTTAAAAATAGAATCAAGAGAGGGGAAATAAATAAATAAAAGTAAATAAATAAAAGTAAATAAATAGATAGAAATAAACTTTCCTTGCACGAGCCTTGTTTATTTACTTTCTTACATTTCAATACCAAGATTGAAATAGAAATAAGTACAAAAGAAAAGAGAGGAAACCCAATCATCGAGTCTTATTATTTTCTTTTGTATATATATATATATATATATTATTTCAGTGAAGGAAAAAAGTAAGTTTAAGTACTTTTTTTGTTTCTTTTCTTAAAAAAACGTTGTCAGCAACCCAAAGATAAAGACTACATAAAAAAAAAAGAATAATAATAATAATAATAAGAAGAAGAAGAAGAAGAAAAAAAAAAGGCTTTTAAAATTATATTTTTTTTAAAAAAAAAACGCATGCACAAAGTGAGACATACATATAACATTTGAAGAAGAAGAAGAATAAAATAAAAAAAAAAAGATAACTGATTTGAGTGTTGTTGCTTGATTAGTTATATTTTCCTCTTAAAAAAAAAAAAAAAAAAAAGCCACCTTCACCTTTTCACATTTTATTGAATGAATGACCAATATTTTTAAATAATAAAATACAAACATTGAAATAGATTATTATTATTTGAGTACTTGAGTTGTAATAAATACAAGACTGTAAAAAAAAAAAAAAAAAAAAAACAAAATAGGGATCTTGATAAAATAAGGGGGGACAAGTAGGGAAAAAAAAAAAAAAAAACTAGATGTAATCTTTATCCCTGAAATCTTGATAAAATCAAGGTAGCTGCTACCTAGTATCTGTGAAAAATGAAAGCAGTTTATTTTAAAGCGCCTCATACTTTACTTTACTTTACTTTACTTGTTGTTGTTGTTGTTTTTTTTTAACCAGTGTTACCTTGCATTTATCAATCTATATTTCCAAAAATTTTTAATCTCACTTTCCATTTTCCTTTCATACTTGACCTTTACTGCATCAATTTTTTTTTTTTTTACGGAAACCTCCCTTCTTTATAAAAAGTAATTGAGGAGGTAAATTTATTGCGTATTTCTAATAAATTCTTTTTCTTCTTTCTTTCTTTTTTTTCTCTTTCCTTTTTATACCTTCTTCGTATTTTGTTTTTATATTTAAAATAAATAAATAAATAAAATATCTCATTCATAAGGCGTCCTCTTTTTTTTTTTTTGGCCTAGAATATTACAATTGGTTCTAATTCTTTTTTAAAACTCTTGGGAAAAACTTGTTTGAAAAAAAAAAAAAAAAAAAAAAAAAAAACTATTTTAATCAATTCAAATTTAGATCATGATCTTAAACGATTTGGGGGGAAGAGGGGGGTTTATCAATTCTTATAGTAGAATAATGACCCTCGCTTTTTTTTTTTTTTTTCAAAAAAAGAAACTTGATTAGAATATGAGAAACAAAAAAAAAAAAAATGTCTAGTTTGAAACCTCTCATGTGGGTCTTATCTGTTGTTGATGTTGTTGATGTTGTTGCTGTTGTTGCTGTTGTAATTTTTTTTTTTTTTTTTTTTTTTTTACTTTACCAACTTTACTATATATATATATATCGTGAAACTATAAATGAGTCCCTCAAATACATAACTTGCAACACGATATATAGAAGTTTTGTTTAATCACGCGTGGAAGAAATTACAAAGTCTCTATTTTATTCTTTGCGTTTTCTTCTTTAATTTTTGTGAAAAAAAAAAATAAAAAATAAAGTAACTAATTAAGAAGAATTCAATTTTGTTTTTCACTTTTGACTTTTGACTTTTTTTAAAAAATTATGCTTATATATATATATTATTTGTGGGGGATAAGAAATTAACATATTTCTCCATCATTAAATTATCAACAAAAACTTTTTTTTTTATTTTTCATTCAAACATTTTTGTTTTAGTCCTTCTTCTTCTTCTTTTTTTTTTTTTCTTTCTTTCTTTCTTTTTTTTTCACACTCTCTGTATTTATTAAAAAACAAGGAAATCTTTTAAAACAACAACGAAAAAAAAAAAAAAAAAAGTGGAGAAGAAGAAAAAAGAAAAAAAGAAAAAAAAATAACTTGATAGTATCTTGGGTTTCTTTATTTCTTTATTTCTTTCTTTGAGATTGTTGGGATTACATTTTGAGAAGCTTACAGTTGTTTTTTTTTTTTTTTTTTTTTTTTAGATACCCATCTCCATCATTTTTATTTTTTATTTTTTTTTTTTTTTGTTATTCACGTGTAACATTACGGGAACAAGAATATGGGCATCTTTTTTTTGTTGTTTTATTTAATTTTATTTTTTTTTAAAAAAAGATTATCAATTTCTAACAAAAAAAAAAAAAAAAAAAAAAAAACAACTAAAAATTTGTAAAAAGTATTATATATACATTTCCTAAAGTAGTTTTAAAATGTCCCTCCAAAAAAAAAAAAAAAAAAAAAATAGATAAATCTAGTATTATTAAGGGAAAGTGGTTGGTTTTTATATATATATATATTTATGGTCTGAGGTTTCGACAAAGAGAATTCTGATTCTCCATGGTGTTGGGAAAACTACTATTCTAGTTAGTTGTATCTCTGGTTGTTTTTTTTTTTTTTTTTCTCCCTGGTAATGAAAAAAAAAAAAAATCTTTGTTCTCTTTATTATCTAATTATCTAATTATCTAATTATCTCTAATAACTATCACCACCCCACCCTTGGACTCCACTCTACTATAATGGGACTATTACTAGGATACATATAGGGTCTGGATCTTTAATATATATATTTATATATATAATTTTTTTTTTTAAATTTCAATTCAAATTGTCCCTTTATTTCAATTTCCCCCCCTATCACTGTATAAAGTGATTTTGCTTCATCTAATTTATTTTATAATTATTTATAATATATTAAATTATATATATATATATATATCAAATACATCAATTTATTATATTGTCTTTTCATTGTAAGAATCTTTTAACATTGATGTCAAAAAAAAAAAAAAAAAAAAATTGGTTTATATCTTTTAATTCTTTTTAAGATATATCATATTAGCTTTTTCCATCAACTTAAAAATATTAAAAATATTAAAAATATTAAAAAAATATTAAAAATATTAAAAAATATTAAAAAATATTAAAAAATATTAAACCTCAACTTTAAAAATTCCAAAAAAATAAAAATAAAAATAAAACTCAATTGCAAAAATAATTTGAAAAATGAAAATATAAGGAAACGTAAAAGAAAAAAAAAAAAAAAAAACTTATCAAAATATAATGATTTATATATATATATATATATATATTCTACCACTTGCTTATAAGTAAAATAAATAAATGAATTCAACAAAAAAAAAAAGGAAAAAAAGAAAATTTCCAAAGCCACAAAAATTCATGCATTTTATATTTTGTTTGTTTGTTTGTTTGTTTGTTTTTTCCTTCTAAAAATTAGCATGATGTTTTTTCTTCATCTAGTAAAAGAAAGAAAGAAATTTCTTTCAATTTCCCTTTTTTTTTTTTTTCTTTTGTTTCTTCTTCTTCTTCTTACCTTTTTTTTTTTTTTTTTTTTTTTTTTTACTAGTTGATATCTTAGACTATCATCACTATTTTCCTGCGACACTAAGCTTCATTATCATAATCATCATCATCTCCTCCTTTTTAAAATTACTTTCTTTCTATCTTTCTAACACTTTTTTTTTTTTCCCACATAAGCCACGCATTTTTTTTATTTCTATATATTCTCTCTTTATTTCTTACTCCTTTAACATCTTCTTCCTACAGCTGCCATTGCCACTGCTGATGCTGATGTTGATGCTGATGCTTTGTGCTAAAAAAAGGTCTGCACAAAAATGGAAAATCAAAAGTCCACACCCAAATGTACAGACAGACCTTGGAGCAGTCGCGCACGCGTACATGTATATAGATGTACTACTACTACTACTACTACTACTACTGATATTTATATATATATATATATATATATAGTGACTTGGCGCACCCTAGGTATATCCACTTTGGAGGCAAAAAATAAAAAAATAAAAAAAAAAAGTAATAATAACGTAATAGTAATTTTAATAATAATAATAATAATAATAATAATAATAATAATAATGAAATCTACCTACCAGTTTGATGTGCGCAAAAAGGCGCGCCAGTTCAAAGGCCGCTTGCCGTGATATTATTATTATTATTATTATTATTATTATTATTATTACTATAAATTTATATAATAATACTATATGGATAATGGATAATATATATTCCTACACCACCCCCACCCAAAAGTCGCTTATTGTCAAACTTGACAAGTATTATATATATATATATATATATATATATATATATATATAATTTTTTTTTAATTTTTTTTATTAAAAACACAAGTTTATACAATATGTTTATATATATATATAAATCCGTTAAATATATTCATCAACCCAGACATAAATATACAAGTGGTGGGCGGTTGTTGTGGTTGTACAAGATTGAAAATAAAAAAAAAAAAAAAAAAACCAAAGCATGTTCGTTAAGATGAAAAAAAAAAAATAAAAATAAAAATAACCCGCAATAATTTTAAAAGAAGAACAACAAGAAGAAAAAAAAAAATTCCCAAAATATAATAAACTCATCATCGTCACTTCATCGATAATTAGTATAATTGTAATTGTAAGGAACCTGAGAATGAACAGATTGCTGATGAACTGGAGAAGGTTGGCCAGACGCCAAGACGCTGATATTATTGCGCTGTAGACCTGAACTAGCAGCAATGGCAGATGATGTTCCCGACAGAGCATGTGTGGCACTGACAGACACATCAGGAAGACGGCGGGGATCAGAAACACCTGCTTGTGGGTCAATATGATAATCATGGCCCGCATAAATCTGACTATAAGAGTAACCGGGCTGAGATTGACCACCATATGAAAGTGCCGTAGAGTCTGTGGAAGAAGATGTTGTCAGACCAGATGAATGGGATGTAGTGGAAGAAGTTGCCGATGAACTGCGCACAGGTTGAGAATAGTATTGACTTGGAGGTGGCAGTGGCGACTGATAATAATCATGACTTGAAGGATTAGCATTGGATGCAGAGGCAGACAGGTACTGAGGTGGAAGGTGTTGTTGAGTCATAGATGAAAAGCCAGTATTAAATTGGCGAAAGTTTGAAATGTAGCCATTAGTAGACAATTGTTGTTGTTGTTGTTGTTGTTGTTGTTGTTGTTGCTGTTGTTGCTGTTGCTGCTGTTGCTGTTGCTGCTGTTGTTGCTGCTGTTGCTGTTGAGAGTGCGACTGTGTAGGAGACTGAGGTTGTTGTTGGTGCACACCTGAATGAGAGCCTGATGTTGAAGACATTGACATGGCTGTACTTGAAGATGATGATTGAGAAATCTGATGAGGACTGCGGTAATAAGCACCTTGGGGTGATGACTCAGTCTTTACCAAACCTGTTGTGCGAGCCATTCCTGTCGAGTCAAATTGAGAAAATGTTTCCACATCATATGGTGACAAATCTTGATATGTGCTGACTGGTGCGGCTGGAGCCGCCTGGGCCCCAACAGCAGTAGCCTGTGCATTGAGAAGATAAGTTTGTTGTTGTTGTTGTTGTTGATGTTGTTGCAATGCCGCACTGCGGGATTGTAAACCGGCTGTACTTTCAATCAAGGTTTGTCCAGAAGGACCCTGACCAGGCTCCAAAGGAATGCGAAAATTTTGGCGGTGTATTAGTTCATCAGAAATGGTAATATCTTTAAGAAAGGCACACTTAGAAGGTTGTTCAAAAATGCCAGCCAAAACATCTTCAGGTTTATAATATGAAACAAGATGGTGTTGGATATTATCAATCATGATTGAAATAGTCTTTTTAATAAGACCATCCTTTTTAAACCCATAAGAGTCAACCAGAGAGCCAACAAGATTTCGCTCAATGGGGATTCCAGAAGGAGACATATCCTGTTGATTGGGAAGTTCAATATTGATAGGCAAAGAAGAGCCTGTAACAGAACCTGGAGCTCCACCAGTAGTCATAGGATACTTGATTTCTTCTTCACGGCCAGGAGATGAGCGGCTATAGGGAGTACTTCCAGTAGAAGAAGAGGATGAAGCACGCTTTCGTCTTGGACGCTTGTTGGTTTGTTTTTTTTCACCTGGTGTAAATGGTTTTTCAAGTTGTCTGTAAACCAAAAAGTTACCCAAAATTCGAGAAGGAGACCAAGCAATACCGTCAGTCCATCGTTTAATACCGGAGCTATTTTCATTAAAGACAAAAACGGAGCCCGACTTGACCAATTCGCTGCGTTCACGGTCGTGAGGCCTTCGTGAGACTGCAGGCAATTTGCCATCAAGAGTGGCTTGGAAAAGAATGAGAGCATCTTGAGTAGTGTCGACGTGGCCGGTAAAAGTTGGTTGGAGGCTCATTTTAAGGCGGATTAATATACAAAAAAAAAATAATAATCAATAATCAATAATCAAGTTAATAAGAGAGTTGATATTTAAAATAGTTGACAATAAGTTTGAAATGTGATTTTTATAATAATGATGATAAAATAGTGGCGGTGGGGTTAAAGAATAATAGAATCGTAGCCAACGTGGTTTGTGTTGTACAAGTATGGAAATTATAGTAGTTGGTAGTAAAACTAGTAGTAATCTATTGTGATAAAAAAAAAAAAAAAAAAAAAAAAAAAAGCCGCGTTAGAGAAGAAACAAGAAATCAAAATTGTATTGATAGATTTTGAAATGAATTTCTTTCAATATATATATATGAATAAAAGAAAAGTATTTCAAAAGATAAAAAAAGTTTATGAAAAACTTACAAAAAAAAAATTGAGCGATAAAATATAATAGCAAATGTCAAATATATATATAAAAGTTGAACCCAAAAAAAAAAATAAATAAAGACAATTAAAGACACAATTGAAAAAAAAAAAAATAATTTTTGAAAAAAAAAAAAAAAAAAAAAAAAAGAAAAAGAAATAGAAGAGTAAAAGAAGAGTTTTTTATAAATAATAAATAAATATTTATAAAAGATAATAATATAATGAAGATAAATAAAAAAAATATAAATATATATATATATATAAAATTTTAAAAAAAAAAAAAAAAAAATCTTTAAAGGTTGAGGGCGAGCCCAGGTTTATATATTCCTTTTTGTCCCGCAAATATATAATAAATAGACATTAATAATTTGATTTTATTAAAAAATATTATTATTATTATATTATATAAAATATATTAACTAACAACAACAACAATAATAATAATAAAATAATAATAAAATAACAGCCTGCCTCCGTTTACGTATAAAAAAAAAAAAAAAAAAAACCACTCCTTTTTATTATTATTTTCCTACGATATTTCTAATAACGTATCGGTTTTATATATATATATATATATATATATATATGAGATCTACTATTACTGGTGGAATATATATATTTTAGTTAGTTATTAGTTAGTTATTAGTTAGTTAGTTTCTTTTACTTTCATATTGTTAAACTTTTTAAATAAAGATGGGCTTTTTAAAGAAATATATGATGATGAAAAAGAAGAATAAAACAAAAAAAATATATATATATCAAAAGACTATTTAAATTTTGAAATTTTTTTTTTTTTTTTTTTTTTTTTTTCAACTTTTCATATCAATCAATAATAATAATAACAACAAAAACAACATCAACAACATCAACAACAACAATTTATTATCTTCATCATTACAACTTTTATTTTTATAAAAATGTCTCCGCCTTTAAAAAAAAAAAAAAAAGAAAATTGTCCTTTAGAGGAGGGGGGCGAGAGAGAAAGAAAAGAAAGAAAGAAAGAAAGAAAAGAATAATAAAAAAAAACACACAGGGTGTAGAGAGTCATTAAAGCCAAATTATGACTATAGAAAAGATTTATCATAAAAGTAAATTATTATTAGCTTATGTAATTGATTGATGGATTGATTGTTGTGCCTAAAATCAAAAAAAAAAAAAAAAAAAATTTCTATGTTACTCGTATATTAAAATATAAATAAATAAATAAAAAATTTATTATTATTATTATTATTATTATTATTATTATTACACACACACACACACACAGCCTCTAATTTACACACCGTTCCATTTAATACGCAAATCAATTACGTAACAGCAAATATTTTATTTTATTTTATTTTTTTATTTATGTCATAGTACTTAGTACTTAACTATTTAGTACTTATACTTGCTAATTTCTATATATCTATATAATTCTTTCTTTCTTTCTTATAAAATTTATATTATTTTTTTTTTTTTTTTTTTTTTTTTTTTTCAAGCAACTAATAGTTATTATAATGACGAAAATGGGCAATCAATGTTACATCTCTTTCTATTCCTTTTTTTTTTTTTTAATCTAAACGGTTTTTTTGTTCAAAAAAAAATTAAATAAAATAAAATAAAATTTCTTTATTTCTTCTTCTTCTTCTTCTTCTTCTTCTTCTTTTTAAGTTGCTTGCTTGCTTTTTTATTTTTATTTATTTTTATTTATTTTTATTTATTTTTATTTATTTTTATTTTTTTATTTTTTTATTTTTTCATTTTTATTTTAACTTGTATTTCTTTCTCAATATATATAATATATAATAATCATTAAAAAATAAAAAATAAAAAATAAAAAATAAAAAATAAAAAATAAAAAATATCCATTATTAATATCAATGATATCAATGATATCTTTTAAGGCACCACCAAAATTCAACTACCAAAAATAACACTCACACACACACAAGTGCAACAACATCTTGAGCACTTGTGGCAACTTTGAAATAATAATAAAAAATAATAATAAAAAATAATAATAATAATAATAATAATAATAATAATAATAATAATAATAATAATAATAATAATAATAATAATAATAATAATAATAATAATAATAATAATAATAATAATAATAATAATAATAATAATAATAATAATAATAATAATAATAATAATAATAACAACACACACACACACATAACACACACACACACACAATAATAATAATAATAATAATAATAATAATAATAATAATAATAATAATAATAATAATAATAATAATAATAATAATAATAATAATAATAATAATAATAATAATAGAAGCACGTACACCTGCGTACTTAATAAAAAGAAACATTTATTTCTCCTCTTCTTACTTGGTTTTTTTTTAAAAAAAAAAAAAAACATTTACTCGGTTCCCATTGACTTTAAAACCAAAAATTTTTTTTTTTTTATATTCTTCCTTCTTTCATATCATCATCTATTCTTCAACAACTCTACTTGCTACCCCTCCTTCGTCCCATCTTTTTTTTTTTTTTCATTATTCACAACTACTTTCCTCTTTTTTCTTCTTCTTTAAATTGAACCCTCCTTTTTTCTTTTTTTTTTTTATTATATGAATCCCCCCCCACATTTATTTAATGATAATAAATCAATTTAAAAAAAAAATAAAATAAATCACTCATTGAATTCTTGATATCTGTGAAAATGTAAAATATATATTTTCGGTCCTCGGCTATATTTATATTATTATATATTTATATATAAAATAAAAAAATAAAGATGTAATTATATTTAAACATTGATAGTTAAAAATAAATAAATAAAAAAGACTTTAAGATCCATGTAATCGGTTATGCTTATATTTAACATCTTCAACCTTTAGTATTATTAAGTTCTTTTAATTTTTTTTTTTTTAAATCTTGAATAAAATCTTTTTTTTAATTCTTTTTTAATGTTAAACCCTTTTTTTTTTTCACTCTCTATCTCTCTCTCAATATATATATAGTTTAGATTTTTGACATTTTTTCAAAAAACTAAAGACTATTCAAATCAAGATTTTAGTTGTTTTAAAAAAAAGAAAAAAAAAAACCTTCTGGAAAAAAAGTCAAATATTGAATTGAATTTTAGAAAAAAAAAAAAAAAAAAAAAAAAAAAAACCAGATCTCTTAGAGAGAAAAGTAACTTTTCATTAGACTTTTATGTTTATCAATTGCAACTATATTTCCCATGTTTTTTTTTTTTAATCTTGTTTTTATTTCGTTTTTTTTTTCTTTTGTTTCTTTTAATCATGGTTAATCTTGATATAGTTATACTTTTTTTTTTCCTTTCAACAAGCGAAAAACTGTATTTCAATGAAAATCCATAATGCTTTTGAGTTACTCTGATAGCCTGGTTTTGTTTTTAACTATTTATTTAAGTATTTATATATATCTCTATATATGAGTTTATTTTAAACTACCATGAACCCTTTTTTTTTTAATACATGAATTCATTTTAGAAATTTACATCTATTGTTATTACAAAGTTAAGAAAAAAAATGACTCTTTGAAGATCAAAATATGACTACTGCTTTAAACGTGTGATATTTAATTGTACCTTTTCTCTCCCTCCCTTCTCCAGTTCCCTGTAAAATCATAATACCACTTACTCTTGACGCCTTTTTTTTTTTTCTTAAAAATTCAAAAAAAAAAAAGAGACCCCGCCCTTGAAGTGAACTGTAACTTTGAACAAATCTGCCCAAAACATAAGAATATGCTATATAACAGTGAGCCGCCCGACCTATTCGTTTATTTATTTATTTTATTTTTTTTTTTTTTTTTTTTTTTTTTTGCAGATGATTACTTCATATATACATCTTTTAGTTTGGTTGTTAATGTCGTTCTAAAACTTTCAATCTAATCTACTCCGCCTCGGTCCGGTGGTATAGGCATCATCAACAAAAAAAAAAAAAAAACTCACAACAAATACTTATTTTGAAAAAAAAAAAAAAAAAAAAGAAAGAAATAGAGAGAGAAAGAGAGAGAAAAAAAAAGAAAAAAAAAAAGAAAAGTCGGAAACAAAAATAAGAGCGAAATAGCCGAGTACGAGTATACTTATCAAGAAGGAGTTTTTATTTTATTTTTTTTATTTTTTTACTTGCTTTTTTTAAATATTATTATTATTTTTTTCTAAGAAAAGAAGTTAAGATTTAAGTCTTATGTAAATATGGATCATTAAAAAGGGATGATTTATTTATTTGTGTGTGTGTGTGTTAATATATTTCAGGTCCAGTTTTTCTAGAAGCAGAAAAACCAAAACCACATGCACACACCAATAAAGTTTTCTTACTTTAAAACATCATTTATTATAATTAAAGACTATTATGGTAATGACGATGATGATGATGATGATGATAATAATAAAAATAAAAATAATGATGATGATGATGAATTTAAAATAAAAAAAATATAAAAAAATTATAAAAAAATATAAAAAATTAAAAAAAAAAAAACCAATTGTCTACTTTAGGCTTAGCAAAGAAAAAAAAAATAAAAAAAATAAATTTAATTAAATAATAGATTGAAAAATAAATTAATAATCATAAAAAAAAAAAGGGAAAAACCCCCACCCCGATTCAAATTGATATTCAGC